GGCGCTTATTAGAGCGGGGCGCTTATTACGTCGAATACGGTAAGTTATTTATGGTATGTGAAATTGATATGTGAATTTAGCCCTGTATTGTCTTTAAATCGACATGCAACTCATTGAAAACAGAGTTGAAAGATTGTAAATTTTGTGGTTTATGCTGACAACCTGAAATGATATAAAAGAAGAATCTGTGCGTATTATATTTTCGAGAATTTAATTGCTCATAATTAGGGTGCGTATTATATACAAAAATAAGTCTTGTGTACATTGATCAATCAGAAGGGTTGCTAATTGGGATTGTTAACTAGCCAATATACTAGTAAATATTGCTGTGGGCGCTTATTAGAGCGGGGCGCTTATTACGTCGAATACGGTAAGTTATTTATGGTATGTGAAATTGATATGTGAATTTAGCCCTGTATTGTCTTTAAATCGACATGCAACTCATTGAAGTACTTCTCTGAAATCGTCTGACAGCTGTATCTATGATACTAGCCACATAAGGAAACATGTATCCCATTCTTCCTGTGTGGGCGTGTCGCAGTGGTTGGTCGGGAGGCGGAATGTCTAGAATTTCCTGATCGTGGCCTGTGGTAAAGGAAGCACCTGGATGTTGACGAGCACAAGACTTCACAGTCTGCTCAAAGTAGCTCACTGTATTACCCTGGTCAGTGGATCAGTGTGCATTCTCAGCTCCCTGGGGAGTATAGTCTGATCTGCTTTTTCGCGCTGTAAGGTGTTTCCATTCACATTATCACATTTCCATTTCCTGGCTGGTGAACAGAGGAACGCGTCGAACAGAGTCAGTTGCCTGATGACACACCACGGGTGAAGTAATATAAGTTTCACTGCTGGGCGGAACTTCAGCCCTAGAAACCCTCAGAGGGCAAGCTTGCTGAGCGTGGTCACCCATCCACCTACTCTCCACCGCCACCTTTGCTTGACCTGATTTGTGACCTGTGTGTTATGCACAGGACCACATGCCTTTACAGGCCACACCTGTGGTGTACATCACTGTTGATACCGGTTCGCCCCGATTATGTTTCTAGGTTTGTCAGCACATTACCCGTGCTCGTGGGTTTCACCGAAGTGGTAAACATCCAAGACCTGTATCACTTCGGGCTTTCCTCCCACATTAGGGGCGGTCGGGTAGCCTAGTGGTTAAAGCGTTTGCTCGTCACGCCGAACACCCGGGTTCGATTCCCGACATGGGTACAATGTGTGAAGCCCATTTCTGGTGTCCCCCGCTGTGATATTGCTGGAATATTGCTAAAAGCGGCGTAAAATCAAACTCACTCACTCACTCTTCCCACATTAAGCTGACACGGCGTGAAATAACCGGAATACTTTCCAAAGCGGCTTAAACCCAACTCACTCACTCTCTCTCACGTACACTGGAGCAGGCCAATAGTATCACTCGAAAAAACACTTATTTATGTTGTGGAAAATATTTTGTCTTCTTGCCAAGATTGCGTGATGATAAACTGGAAGAACTTTGACTTAATACAGTTGGTGAGCTGGAGGGTGGCTTAATCTGGCTGTCAGTATTGATTCCTCATGGAAATTGTTTAACCTGTTTGAATATGTCACACTAATTACATTTATCATTGAAATACATGTCATACAGACAAAGGGATATTCAGTCATCGCTCAATGAACAGCAGTCTGGAGAGACGGTATTCAGGGAGTCAGATTCCTTGCTGTATTGAATGTCTTACACATGCTATCGCTTCAGTACACGAGCAGGAAGGTATCAATATCTGAGGGAATGGAAAATGGATGAATGAAGTGACGCATGAATGAAGTGATGCATGAATAAAAGCAATATGTAAAATATGTCCCTTGCCGTGATATTGGTGGAATATTGCTAGAAGTGGTATAAAACCACACACACTCACTCACTCACTCACTCACTCACTCACTCACTCACCCATCACACATTTTAAGACAAGTTATGTGTGAAAGATTGCACTGAAAAAGGATCAAACCTGCATTTGAAGTTTCACAGCATTAACTTGTAAATAGATCACAAAATAGTCTGTCATCAGTAAAGAAATCAAAAGGTGACTGTTTGTCGTAAAAGGCAACTAAAGGGATCGGGTGGTCAGGCTCGCTGACTTGGTTGATGCATGTCATCGATCCCAATTGCGTGGATCGATGCTCATGATATTAATCACTGGATTGTCTCCTCCTTACTATTTACAGACCGCCGTCATACAACTGGAATATTGCTGAGTGCTGCATTTAACAAACAAACAAAACTTATTGACATCCTGTGAGCACGTTCGTGGCAAGTGATCATGATGTAGAAAGTCCCAAGCTTTTAGACTTCTGAACTCCCATTCAGACTCTATTGTATGACTGTAGCACCAAGATTGTACTGTAGCATGGGCCGACTATCCCTGCCTCAATCCATGCCCTTGTGTAATAAGACAGTGTTTGACACAGTATACGTGCGGGTCTCTGGGGTAGGATGACCCTTTGCCATGACACTCAACATTGGAGCTGGGGAGTAATCGCTCATGTTCAGCCTGATATCGTAAATGGAAACGGTCCCGCTGGAAGTATCACTGTTATGTCCATATGTGAAGACTCTTGATGCTGATCCGGCTGCTCTTCTGTTGCCAGCATGCTGTGCCCCGTGCTCTAAGGGCCATGGGACCATGAGAGCTCATGACCCCACATGGCAGTGTGTGGAAACTGTCTAGACTCAGCATAAACTCTGTTATGGATTTGGCCACAGCCAATATTACCCTGATAGTAAATACTGCAAATGTGAAGCAATACGTTTTTATAATGTTTTCAGTTTATGGCTTGACCATCTGCAGCAAAGACCCAAACATTTGAATAAAAAAAATAAAAAATATTTTTTTTGGCCTATCTAAAAACAAAGTACCAGTTCAAATTAAGAAATTGTTATTTCATTTTTTCAAAATGTTAACTAAATTGAATTAATGGAATTAATTCTTTTTGCCCGTACACAAAAAAGATACCGCTTCAAAAAAAATTTAAACAATACCTGCCATGTCATGAGATGCTGCCAAGGCCATGTGTTATCTGTGGTTCCAGAACATCAGTGATCTTCATCTTCCAGCAATTTGTTGGAGGATACTGGACAAACATTCACAATTTGGCGCTATAAACAATGAAATAAACTTCAATATGAAGAAGAAATGCCAAAGGCATCCTTCAAATCACTGGGAGTTTATTTCCATCCCTTTGTCTAAGGGTTATTTAATCATTATAAAACAACAAAATGTATCTGTTTAGTGATAGCCTCAGGTTTCAGTCTGGAACAAGTACAAATAGACATCATGTCTCCATATATATATATTGATTTAAACCAACAGATAGTTTTGTATCAAGGTTTCAGAGTTTTCAGCATTCGACATCAATATTTAATAGACCCTTTCATCATATTTGATGTCTCTCCTTCAAAAGGACAGATGAGCCTCAAGGACATGGTGGAGAACAAGGGTTTTGCTTCGGATGATCTGGGTTCATCCAAAGACTTCATGCCCTGATATGCTTACATGCTTGTTTTGTTGGTATATACTGCTGAGAACGTATATCCAGATTATTGTATGCATATAAAATATATCCTTTTTTTCATTACATTTTCATGAAATACCCCAGTAGGCTATATACCCCTTCCCCACCCACCCCATAAAATATTGTCATTACACTGCATCAAATATATCCATTTTCCCCCATAAAATATTGTCATTAGATTGCATCAAATATATCCTGTGTTTCCCATAAAATATTGTCAGTAGATTGCATCAAATATATCCATTTTTCCCCATAAAATATTGTCATTACATTGCATCAAATATATGCTTTTTTCCCATAAAATATTGTCATTAGATTTCATCAAATATATCCTGTTTCCCATAAAATATTGTCATTAGATTTCATCAAATATATCCATTTTTCCCCATAAAATATTGTCATTACATTGCATCAAATATATCATTTTCCCCCATAAAATATTGTCATTACATTTCATCAAATATATCCTTTCCCCCATAAAATATTGTCATTACATTTCATCAAATATATCCTGTTTTTCCCATAGAATATTGTCGTTAAATTGCATCAAATATATCCTGTTTTTCCCATAAAATATTGTCAGATTTCATGAAGTAGTGTCACAAGTTTTCTTGCCTCTCAGTACTTGCTCTGAACAGAGAACAAAGGGTTGTAGAAACTGCAGCCTATAGAATTACCATGATTCACCTTCATCTGTAGCCATGATGGCTCTGTTTACTAAGAGTGGACGCTGTAAGCATTTGATTACATCAGGCTGGTTGTTGGACCTTTTCTACATTTATCATCTATTTTTATGCCATTTGGTCCCTTTATTCATGCCATTATTTATATTATTGAGTGTTATTCCCTAATATCTCTATAGCATTATCTGGTTCGGTGTTGATTACATACATATTCTAGATTCTGATTTGTTCTTCCTATCATATTACTAGTACATTCTGAAAATAACTTATTATTCTTGGTTTTTATGTAATCATAACTCTTGACTTCAGTAAAATGATTAAAGTTTGCTTTTAATAAATATAGTTGTGAGAAACAGCAATGCCAGAGGATGAGAGCATGAGTGGCCCAGTCGTGTAAGGCGCTGCAGTTCGCTGGGCAGAGTTGCGTCCCTTGGGCGCGTCAGAAACCTATGACCATGGGTTTACAATCCCGGTTCACCCTGGTTGTGTTTGCAGGTTTTACAGCACCATGCCCATGCTAGTGGGTTTCACCAATGGGGTAAAGGTCTTTGGACTTTCCTCCCACATTGAGCTGACACGCCGTGATATGACTGGAATAATGTTCCAAGTGGCAATAAACCAATTCACTGTCTGATGAAAGTTAAAGACATCCAGTAACTCAGTATTGTCTGATGTATGTAAATATTAAAAGAAAGAGTTTTGTATGTTTTACATTTAAAGGAGATAGTTTTTTTAGTTTAATTCATTGTTTGACCTATGTTGTTCCAGGCACTGTTTCCAAGACTCGTGATGGCGACAGTGGCGATGGTGTGCCAGACACTAAACGAGGGGTCACCAGACAAGACTCTGCCAGTCGAGAGGACATTGACCGAGTCGGGTATCCTAAAAATGCAGACAAGAAGAGATTGTCCAACTTGTTTGAAACCTTTAAATCTAGTAAAGATGTACCTGATAATGATGAACAAGACATAAAACATGTGTCATGTAGACGGCACAATGTCTCAGACTCAGATTCGGGGTCATCATCCGATGGAGAAACTCCGATGGATGTTGCCGATTCCAAGACTCAGTCCTCGGATCAAGTATCGTCTACTTCTGCAGCCATCTTGGCTCAAAACCTGTCTGAGACAGAGAGTGCCTCTGACTTGCGTCGAGACCAAAAAGAGTCTCCAGAGAGAAAAGTGCCTAATGGAGAATCACAACCTAACAGTGGAGAGACAGTGGAAGGGGCAGAGTCTGCTTCAACAGAACGTTCCAGGAACTCCGTGTCCCCTGAAAAACGTAAAATGACCCCGACAGAGGCTGTGATTTTTTCGAAACGGTTCTCAGGCACCCAAGACCAGCTGATGGTGAGTCAGCCATCTTCTTCCAATAGCCCGGTGTCTCCAGTTTGTAACATGTCGCATTCCCCAGACCACAAAACCAGCATCGTCAGGAGAACATCCTCTGAGAAGTCCGACACTTCCAGCATGTCCTCTGCCCGCACAGCTTCCCCAGCCACCAAAATGAGGCTCCTGGACATGGCAAGTAAACGTGCGCTAGAACGGGAGAGTTTCGACCAGGAGGAGTCAGGGCATGATAGCCCAAGACACAAACCAGAGGATACCCCTTCAAATGGTGTCAACCGTCTTCGTCTCCAACCAAGCCGGACCACAGGTGGATCGTCGTCACCAGTGAGACGTGAGTACAGTGTATGCTCTCTGCATGGCAGCCCGGCCGCATGATCTGTTAGTGTGACGTCCATGTTGTTCCTGCTTTGTGATGATTATCCCAGTTATGTCTCTGCATTGTACACTTCAACCATGAATGCTTTGTTAATAGTAGAGACCTTTTTTTTCATTTCTTACTACAAAAATGGTTAAGAGCTTAAAACTAAAGAACTTAATTGCTTTTCCACATCAATAGAATTAAAAAATAACTATTTGAAAAAAAAATTCTTTATGGGATTTCCAGTCATTTAAAATCAATTTGTTTGATTTTGGCAACAAGAAATATTTCTAGGATGAGTGTTTGCTACAAAAAAGGTTTAGAAATTAAATCTTAAAAACTTAATTGCATTTCTACTTCAAAAGAGTTAAAAAGTAACAACTTGAGAAAAAGTCCTCATTGGATTTTCATTTATTTAACATCAATATGTTTGATTTTTGCAACAAGAAATATTTCTAGGATGAGTTCACACATGTTTTCACAGTCACAACATGACCTGGGGGAGGGGTTTCTGGCAGGTGTTGAGTAAAGGTGTACAAGAATTATGGAATAAAATCTATAAACTATTCAATACAAGCAATGCATGAGAAATATCAATAATATCCTGTTCAAAACAATGAGAGAATATTCCTTTGATTGTATATTTTCGTATTCCGAGAATATTGATGTGGAACATTACCGTTCGCTTTGTGCATGATGAAATAAAGGATTGATAATGCATGCCATGTGGTTATCATATTTATCACCTTAAGATATGTTTTCACATTTTGTATGAAAATTTAACAGATGAACCCTGATTTAGTCTACAATTTTGTTTGTTTGAATACCCAAGATACCATTTAACATGCTGGATCCTGATGGCAGTCTACACAGTTTTTTGTTTTCATACATGTATACCATTTTCTGGTAGTGAGATGTTAAGATTACATATAATAGACATGCAGGTATTTGTCTGATCAGTTGCGGCTGAATCTTCAGTATTTATTTTCAGCTTTTAAGCTGAGTCAGGTTGTTTTATAATATTTTGCTTTCAGAAAGATTTTCTTCTTAACCTGACTTCCTGTTTGTTTCAAAGTATCTGTTACATCCTATAGGGAAAGGAAATATGAGAATGTCATGTCATGGCAGCACAATCCTTATCTGATAGCTGACCTTTGCATTATATGTGGGTTCAGGAAAACTCAAGCTGTTGTGTTGAGTGATGGTGCTTTGGCATTAATGTCATCGGATCCATTTGTGCAATTTGTAGTTTCTACTTGCACGTATTAAAGCACATATTTTGTTTGGATATTTCTTACATCAGATTATTGCATCGTATGTTTAATAACATTTTATTTTAATTTGAGCTTGTTTGCTTTATAATAGCTTGCAAAGAGTTTTCATTGCAATCAGCTTTGTATATTATCTCGAAGTGAGTTAGTAAATATTGCTTTAAGACTCATCATAGTTATTACAGCTATTCATGGTCTTGATGAAATATCTCAAAGAATTTTTGAATAAATAGGCTATAAATAAGATAAAATATGTATGAGAGTAATTATAAATGGTGGATTTTTGTAGTTGATGATAGCGTCATTTTCTTTGTTGTTTTTCTGGTTTGTGTTTTGATCACTGCATCTTGATTCATCCAAATTGTATTTATCATTCAGTTGCTGTTTGTTTATTTGTCAGATGAGTTTGGTGAAGGGTCTTCTATGTGTAGTGCTGTAGAGTGGAGGGCAGATGCAGGGGGTGGAGGGCCCCAGTGCACAGCTGATGCTACGGAGGAATTTTGCAAACCATCACATACTCTACCTCCAAATACTTTACCAATAACTCACCATTTCATGCATGAAAGCCCACATCACTTCACCGACGCCACTGAATCAAGGGAGGCTACTCCTGCACTCCTTTACTCATCTCTTTCAGAGCACGATAATTCTCTCTGTGGTATAAATAATCCATCTAATATTTCAAATTCTGAGTCTAACACAAGGGAGATAACTCTTTCGCAACACTTGATGCATGATGATTTATTGTCAAATCACACTGTTGGTCCTACTTCTGATCAAACAAGTCAGAGTAATAAAAAGCTTCTTGATGCAGACTGCATTGATTCAAACGTTAATGATAGTGGTAATAATCATAGTGGGTTCATGGGTCATAAATCAGACAGGTCCTATGATGAACCGCATGACCCAGATAACCTTACTACTGATTTATACTCCACTGGTGCTATTGCTGCTATGTCAATTCGACAGAAACAAAACATGATGGACACCAGTGATGGTACAGTTGTAGACCAGAAGACACGAGAGGAAGCCATGGTTCCTGCTGTCACTGGGTTTCATCCCAGTCCAGTGGTAAGCCAGGCTAACTCTGATGTTCATGTTGCCATTGCAGCTTCATCACCCAGACATGCCGAGATCATGTTTGCAGTAACTCCACATGCAGCTGATCCCCAGAACCACCCACACCATCGTGGTCCTCAGTGTCAACACTCTGAGATCCCAGAGGGTTCTGATTTGGTTGAGCCTGTTTCAGGGACATCTGTGGAACATGTGGACAAGACTGATTATTGGTCTGAACAGTGTCAACACTCTGAGATCCAAGAGGGTTCTGATTTGATTGAACCTGTCTCAGGGACATCTGTAGGTTATAGGTCTCAACAATATGGACACTCTGAGATCCAAGAGGGTTCTGATTTGGTTGAGCCTGTTTCAGGGACATCTGTGGAACATGTGGACAAGACTGATTATTGGTCTGAACAGTGTCAACACTCTGAGATCCAAGAGGGTTCTGATTTGATTGAACCTGTCTCAGGGACATCCGTAGGTTCTCAACAATATGCACACCCTGAGATCCAAGAAGGTTCTGATTTGATTGAGCCTGTTTCAGGGACATCTGTAGGTTATAGGTCTCAACAATATGGACACTCTGAGATCCCAGAGGGTTCTGATTTGGTTGAGCCTGTTTCAGGGACATCTGTGGAACATGTGCACAAGACTGGATCTAAGACTGAAACAAGTCAACCTGCTGTTCAGCTGGAGGTCGACACAAGGTGTTCATTTGATCCCCTTGAATCCTCAGAAGTGTGTCCTTCAGAAAGGACTTGGGAATCCTTTACTGGATCAAGTGATTCTGGGAGTCCTGGTTATGATCCAGTGATTGTTGACATAGGAACCAGTGAACTTGTGTTAGGGGAACCTAATCCTCGGCTTGCTGTGATGGTGTGCATGGAGTCCATGGGATCAGATTCTTGTCCTGAAGATGAAGAAGGTGAAGATCTGAGAGACATGGACTTCAGATTATCTGGTCTGGGGAACTGTCAACGTATCACAGTGTCAAGTCAGCAGAGTGATGACATTTTCAGCAGTCAGTGTTGTAGCCCAGGTATTGATACAACTCAGACAGATGGTCCTCCGGTTGAATCAGCTCAGACAGATGGTCCTCTGGTTGAATCAGCTCAGACAGATGGTCCTCTGGTTGAATCAGCTCAGACAGATGGTCCTCTGGTTGAATCAGCTCAGACAGATGGTCCTCTGGTTGAATCAGCTCAGACAGATGGTCCTCTGGTTGAATCAGGTCAGACATATGGTCCTCTGGTTGAATCAGCTCAAACAGATGGTCCTCTGGTTGAATCAGCTCAAACAGATGTTCTTCTGGTTGAATCAGCTCAGACAGATGGTCCTCTGGTTGAATTAGCTCAGACAGATGGTCCTCTGGTTGAATCAGCTCAGACAGATGGTCCTCCGGTTGAATCAGCTCAGACAGATGGTCCTTTGGTTGAATCAGCTCAGACAGATGGTCCTTTGGTTGAATCAGCTCAGACAGATGGTCCTCTGGTTGAATCAGCTCAGACAGATGGTGTTCTGGTTGAATCAGCTCAGACAGATGGTCCTCTGGTTGAATCAACTCAGACAGATGGTCCTCTGGTTGAATCAGCTCAGACAGATGGTCCTCCGGTTGAATCAGCTCAGACAGATGGTCCTTTGGTTGAATCAGCTCAGACAGATGGTCCTCTGGTTGAATCAGCTCAGACAGATGGTGTTCTGGTTGAATCAGCTCAGACAGATGGTCCTCTGGATGAATCAACTCAGACAGATGGTCCTCTGGTTGACCCTTTCTCTGATGTGAAGGATGGTTTTGATAATCAGCTTATTGACTTCACTGGCACTGATGCAGGTTCTGGCCATGGTTCTCACCATGTTGTGGATCTTTCCATTCCAGGGTCAGAAAACCAATACCTATTTGTCTTAAATACAAGTGATCCTACACCTATTAGTAGTTTTCAGTGTGGTTTTGTAAATCCTTCAGACAGTAGAGTTCCGGAAAGCAGCCAACTTTTTGATACCCCTGCAGAACCTGTTTCAGGGCAAAGGCAGCATGGTGTTGAATCACCTGCTAGTACCACTGACCCGGTTGCACACCAACATAGCATGTGTGCCCCAGGTTGTAGATGTACCATCAACTACGATAGCCAGCAGTAGAGAGAATAGTGCACATATTGAAACAGCCAGATATCAAGGTGCTGAAGCACGACCTTTAACACTTAGCAGCAATAACCCAGTAGATAATGCCTGTTTTGATAGTGAGCGTTACTCTGACCTCCTTGATAGAGACACCTTAACTGTTGTAACCTCTACATCTTCACAGAAGCACCTTTCTCACACACTTGATAACCAACTTGATTCTGATGTAAACGTTTCTTATCTGACTAACTCCTACAAGTTGTCCGACAGCTCTGACCCAAGTATATCACCTCTGTCTACAGTCACCACTTCCTCTGTCCTTGCCTCTGATGCTCACGCACAATATAAATGTCCAGTTTCCTCTTCTGACAACTTTACATCGGCCAGAAACTGGAGTCCATTCCAGACTTTAGATTCAGATAGTGATGACATACTTGCCCATAAAAATGAACCATTAACACCTGAATGTTTAGCCAATGTTAGCTCTGAGGGTGTAGGTGCCCCAGCAATTGAGACATATAAAGCAACACAACTTGATTCCACCATGAATGTACCCCGAGATGCTGCTTCTGCTTCAGCTTCCTCCCCTCAGTCTGACATATGCAGTGGGTCGGACAGTGATGTGATGGAAGTAGCAGAGTTCCCTCTGTACATGTCACCCAGGCACTCTCAGGAGGCGCCGTTGTCGGGGGAGCTGTCAGGGACAGAGGAGAACCAGTTGTCTGGCGAGCCCTCATCTCCTGGAGCAGAGGAGTTAAATGAGGCTGAGAATCACTTTGGGATGAAGGAGACTGAAGGGGCTGATGATAAAAGAGCACATGGTCTGAACGAAGGAACAGACTATGAAGATGTTATGGAGACTAAATCAGAACCATCACATCCATGTCAGCATATTACTGAGGGTCATGTGCCGGATGCCACATCTACACCCAATCACTTAGAAGAAACCATAGATGACGAGCACTTATTTCAGCTTGTATCCATGTCTCGTCCTCAAGTTACTTGTCCTCCGTCACAACATTCACAGACTAGGAGGTCTAAAGATGACAGTGAACTAGAACATGTTAAACCATCACCATCTGCAGCTGTGACTTCAACAGCTGCCTCATCAGCTGCCACGGTTACTAATCTGTCCACCATTGGACTCATACCCGACAATGACGAAGGTGACCCCTTTGCTTCCGGACCAGTTGATATCAGTGATGCTCTACAGCGCTACCTGCGACAGGAAGTAGATGAGCTATCCGACTGCCTTAGTGTCATCACAGAAAGGACTGAACCAGAAGAAGATGAATTATCGGAGTTAAGTGAAGCATTAGATGACACAATGGAGGATGAGGACCTGGATAAGGAAATAGAAAAGATATACCAAGCAAACATAAGTATTGAGAGTTACTGCAGCAGCGACAATCTCAGTTCTGGCTCTGCCGCTGCAGCCATTCGGAAGGCAAGGAGAGAACAGCAGAAAAAGCACATTGAAGAGGTTCTTGCTAGCCCGACATCCTTTCAACTTCAGGTGATATCGGAGGGGTTTACAGACAAACCTGTTCAATCAAAAGAGGAACCATCTGAACAAGAGAGTGATACTGAGTCGGTGGACAAAGTGTCTATAACCTCTGACACCATATCTGCCTGCCTTAGTGATATGAGTTCTGTGGACCATTCCAACAGACAGACACCCACAAGCAGCATCCTGGTCTCGGTAGACGATGGTGCTGTGGGGAACGCTGACACAAACAGCAGCGATACAACCAGTGAGGAGCAGGATTCAGCGTGGTTTGATATGTCCCTGTCTGTCGATTCGGTTAAAGAGCTTCCCACTGCCAAGAACTCTAGTTCCCAAGATGCATCAATGTCTGCTAGCACTGAGACTCTGTGTGATGAAGATCTTCCACAGGATGATGTTGCTAATGTGGATGATGACAGAACAACTCCCGAACCTCATGTTCCTGAAACTGATACCAACTTGGACTCCAAAGAAACACTGGAGGGAAACAAATTGGTTAATGAGAAAGACATTTCTAACTGTCTCAAACAAGTTAGCATAGAGAATGACATTAATAATGCAAATGTTCCTCAGTCTGATTCTGATTTCCCCAGCATCCCCTTAGTGCCTGGGCATGACCCTGATGCCACTTCTGTACCTTCTGAAACCCTTCATCCCATTTCAAACACTTCCTCCCCACCCGACCTTCACCTTCAAGATCTACCAGTGACCTTGACCTCACCAACTGCTGCCTCACCTTCATCCCCGCTTCCTGAGTGTCAACCAGGTACAATTATTATCACACATTATGCATTAACTCCCTTTAGTCGAGCTGGTTTTGTTATGGCTTAATTAATTTTAATTCAAATTTTGAGTTATTTTCAGAAATTATAAATTATATATTTCAAGATAATTTGGATATGTTTGTATCTATTTATGTTGTTTTTTCACTTTTGTTGCTTTCTCATTACTTATATACAATATATATTTCTCAATTGTTATTCTCCTACAAATAATTTTTCAAATAAATAGAACTTTTACAGAAAAGTCTCTACACATTGTACTCATTGCAGTTCTTCATTGCTTTGTTGGACAATGAATAACAAAGAGCTGTTGTCTGGGTCAGAGCTTCTATGAATGTTGGAGTAGATAGTAATGGCATCTAACAATAGATTATATTAACAGCTCATCCAGAAAGCATCACAATTTTAACTAAATACTAAAACCTGTTCTGTTCATATTCACACATAGTCTCAGAAGCTGGTAGTGCATGGGTTACGGTAAGCTCATGGTCTGTGTATTGACTGTTATACTAACCAGGGTATGTGTTGTGTTTCGGTCCGTAATTCCCTGCACTGGTGCTTCATGTGTTTATAACTGATGCTTATACCATCCTGGTGTCACAGATGCGTTTACGATAAAGAATTGTATTTTGTCTTTAATTCATGTGAAACCAATGGAAATGTTACACTTGATATTGGATGAATTGAGAGAATGTGGATGAATGGTGAAGATGGTAGATAGTGGAATCATGTGACTATGTATTATGTTGATATGACCTTTCTGGATTCATACCATAGTTCATTATAGGGTGAGGTGAGTCAATGCCTCATGGAGTTATACCTGAATTTATCAAAGGGTAAGATGGATCGTGGCCTTTCTGGAGTTATACCACAGTTAACTATAGGGTGATGTGGGTCAAGGCTTTTCTGTAGTTAGACCTGATTTTATCACAGAGTGAGGTGGGTCAATGCCTTTCTTGAGTTATACCACAGTTAACTATAGGGTGATTTGGGTCATGGTTTTTCTGGAGTTAGACCTGAATTTATGATAGGGTGAGATGGGTGAATGCCTTTCTTGAGTTAGACCTGAGTTGACTCTAGGGTGTAATGGGTCATGGCCCTCCAGTGTGTGTGTGCAGTGTTCCACGTGCATGCCTTGATGATTATATGCATGTTCATTGTGCCAGTATTCAGTGTCCTGTTCCTGTCCTGAGGCAGCAGCAACTCCATGGCAAACAGAACACGTTATACAGGAAAGTGTGTACAACAAGGCCATGTGCCAGCCCACTACACATGACCACGACCACCTACCTCAGTATGTCATTAGCAATATAGATGATATCAGTGGAAACAATATCTTTGGACCATTTCCATCATCAGCTATGCACCAATAGATGAATAATGATGCTTGAGTACTCATTCAAAAATTGAAAAGATAAGTATGACAATACATATTTCCAGAAGTTGTAAAGATTTTCCACCTGCTGCCAACCTTATCGGCAACACAACAAATAAAGGTCACTGGGGCCTACTTCAGTCCCCATGGGATGACATCAGTGTAAGAAGGTTACAAGTATTGATGGGAGACGTCAGGAAAGGCATTAGTGGTTCCCAGAAGTAGCAACCTTTTTGTATCCCTGGTTTTATCTTGTCTTTCCAAGTTCATCCCACTTAGCGATGGGGAGGTGAACTGTCAGCAGCTTGGTATGCATCAGCCCAATTTTCCAGGTCTCCAACCAGAGGCAGGAGACTTCTTCATTAGTGACTGAGCAATGTCAAGGACAATCCTTGTGGCTCGTGTCGCTCGTCTGGGATTCCTTTAGTCATACATGGAGTTGAGGTACGGGTGATTGGATTGAGTAAAGGCTGTAATTGGATATGGGAGACAATGATATGCTCTTTGAGTTCCTGGTCTCTTCAGAGTCAGGGAGTATAGACAATGCGATCACCTTTTACAGTGACACATTACACATGTCATGCAATCGGAAGATTGTGACATTGGATTAAAGATTTTGCTTTGCTTTCCCCCAAAGTGTTGAAAAGTCACTAAGATAAAACTGATACGTTCTTAAGGTCAGTGTTGTTTTTCGTCCATATATTTATACACTTTATAGGGTTAATATTTGAAAGGATTGAAAATAAACAATAAGTCTACCATACTATCTACCATAACACCATCTTCTTAACATCACAGTTTATGTTAGACAAACTATTAATGGATGGCTTGAAGGATATGCATTAATAATAAAGCAGGTTAAAAAATATATTTCACCCCAAAATAGTATTATGAATAGGTGAATAGGTTAAAACACATTATCAGGCATGTCAGAAGAATGTAGTTCTTCTTGAAAAGAACCTTTTTAGTTGTGACACTATTCTGGTCCACTATAATCTAGAATTGATATTAGTCATTCAGATATATTTTTGCTTTTAAAATAATAACTCCACCAAAACCATTTTCAGTAAACAAATTATTTGAAAAAGGAGATTGTAAATTCTTAATGATTATTCTATTATTAGATGTTTTACGGTAGCTGCATCCTGGTTTGGCACCAATGTGTGCAGGGTAACAAGACCTTGTACATTGCCTGTCTCAGCTACACAAGAATAATCTTTTGAAAAATTCAGTGATTGATTTTCATTTGAAGAATTTAAGATCATTCATCTGTTGGAATTCTGCCCAGTTTCCATATGGAATAATTTCAGTGTCTCGGAAAGAAAGATTCTAATCAAATTTATTGATGAAACATTTAAAATTTAATTTTGAGAGATTGAAATACGGACATGTTTGTCAACTAGATACTTGTTCTGTAATGCTGGCAGATATTGGTAAAGAGGTCTGTAGCCACATCATCTTCAGGACTCAACTGTTGCCTAGCAACAGTTATGGAGGCATTGTGATACGGGCTTGATGCTGATATGTAATGAATCCTTAACTCAGGTGGACAAAAATGTATTTCAGTTAATATCCAGGCAGTAGGTTGCTACGTGAAGATATTTGTTGTCAGTTTTCTTCGGTATTCTGTGATGTGTTGTTTTAGGCAGTGTATGGAAATGAGATGTTATGCTGTAGTCAGTAATATTCTACCTATGTTTGTTTGTTATATATATTTGTTGTTGTTTAAAACAACACTCAGTAATATTCCAGATATATGACAGCGGTCTGTAAATAACTGAGTCTTGACCAGACAATCCAGTGATTGACATCATGAGCATCGATCTCAGCAATTGGGATACGATGACATGCATGAACCAAGTCAGTGAGCCTGACCACCTAGTCATGTTACTTGCCTTACGACAAGCATGGATTACTTGCCGAACTCAGATTATAACCTGGCTCTTCAAGGGATATTCTAGCTATGACACCAGGCTGTAGCATATATTCAGTCCGGCCCAAGGTGATGCTGGTAAATGTTCCAAGGTCTGTTGTCAAGTGTTCAGTATAAGCCTAGATGATGTTGCCCATGCTTTGTGTGAAATGGACACGCACATTGAGACGCCCAATGCTAACACTGTATTCGTGCGTGCGTGATTCCCGTGCACCCGTTCGAGTTGAGTTGATTGGTTCAACTGTGTCATATGGCAGATGTCTGTTTCAATGAATGCTCATTCCACCCGTGACGAACAGGTCTGGTTGTTGATGAAATATAGTGATAGCTAAATAGACAGATTTTTTATTCATGCACCGATTGTCTTTAAATGTAATATCCAGTTATGTATGACTGTTTAATAATCTCATACCAACTTTGACTGGAGTAGGTCCGATAGTTTTTCAGATATTGTAGTAAACGTCGGTACCTTAAATTACCTTCCAGACTATAGTATGTTATCTGAGAGAGGTTTTTGATATTTTGTACCCCTCCCTGTTCCTGGATGCTGGATCTGCCCTTGCTGAGGCACTGATAAGCTATAATATCCACTTGGACAGAGTTGTAAATTCTTGAGAGGCAAGCATCAGCAGCTTTACTCAGTTTCTTCCTCTTGTGTCATCAGTCATTATTCATAGAACACTCTGCCTTTGTAAATGGCATGTTTGACGGATGGTTTTCTCATAAAATTTAAATAAGTTGTCTGTTTTATTTCTTGACAATTCCCTTTTCAAATTCCATATTTGCAGTATTAGGTGCCATGGGGCTGAGAAAATTGGCAAAGGTGGCAGTTTATAAAACCATACACAACAAGTTAAATTAGTTTTCAGAGATCAAGCAGTAGTGAACAAACTTTCAAATGTCGATGAAACTGAAACAGTCACTTGGCGAGTAGATACCCCTTCTGTGATGCTGATGTGTGTAATATTCACACAAAAATGTGAACTGTCATTTACATTTGCCGTCTTATACAGAAGTTGGTCGGATGATTACAGAAGCAGGGCAAGTAATATGGTAAATACGGTATGAATGCAATGGGGTCCCATCCTCATGTGTGCTGTTACAGATTTGGCACTCCACCATTTTCCCCATGTGACCTTGACAAACAAGATACTACTTTCCTAACAAATTGCCCGCCTGTTCTCCTGCCATTAGTTATCAGAGAGTCTTAGGCCCTCTGACGGATCAATCCATAGGATTCCCACACGCCAGTCCGTGGTTTTATGTTCCTTCAAATTACTGCCGTTTACCATGCTCTGTGTCGTTCACTGTGAACCAGTGTCACGTTATTTCACACTCAAGGAACACGCTGTTAATCTCTGCTTGTGTAAAACTCAACAAGCCTTTCTGGTGTGAGTGGTTGTAACGCCACTTTCAGCACTATTCAGCCATATTGTGCCTTGGGACACCAAGACTCGGCGCTACACATTACACATGTAAGGGAACCCAGCCTGTGGCTATTTCATGCTTCAACCACTAAGCAACCCCATTATTTAAATAACTGATTTATATGAAACTAAGGAAAATACTAACAAATGTCGTTAGTAGTGTAATGTAGACCAGTATTCGCGGAATGTCCTTGAAAAGGTGACCACGCTTCGGCAACTTGACTCCTGAGAGTTTCTAGGGCTTCGGTC